ATTTAAATAAATAATATTTTTATGATAAAAATATTATAACTAAATAATAAATTAATTAAAAATTAATATTTATCAGATATTTTTTTTTCTTTTATTGTTAGGCGGCTCACGTGAATGAATGAAAAATCAGATGTGCATTCCTTTGACAATCCACTCGCCATTATATGTGGATTCCAAGACTTTCAATTAAAAACAATTAAGAGACAGAAATTATTTATATGAGATGTCAAAGGTGAAAATCATTTACAAATTTAATTTGAAAGTTTGGAAGATTTATTCAATTCCTCTGGAATTACATATCTAATACCTAAATTCAATTTTTATATACATAGCACCTTACACATGCATGAAAAAGTATATTTTACTTTTCAAAAGTTTGTGGTTGTATTTTAAAGTAAGTTGGTATAAATGTAAAAAAAGAAAATTTTAGGTGTTAGATATATAAATACATAGCAGTTAGGTGGTATGAATGTAAATGGCCCAAATTTGAATGGGCATTTTTATGCATATTTACATATATAACACCCAAATATAAATCTTTTGCATTACACGAAAATTTTAGGCAATTATTAGTTTTTGAAACGACATCTATAAATATACCATATAAATATTATGCACCAATATATCTAACACCTAAAATATCATGTTTACATGCATAATTCATAGATTCTTAACATCACACAAATATAACACTACTGATCTATAAAAAAAATAAAATAAATTATTTTATATAAAAATAAAATATATCATTTATATAGTGATCTATAAAAAAATTGAATACATAATAATTGTGACGTACATATGTTTTATACACAGAAATATATTAGAAATATCAAACTTTAAATGTAAATGCTGAAAATATATGAATAAAATAAGCACATAGAATTGCATAATATTATACAATTAAGAAAAAAAAAAAAAAATTTCTAACAAAACAAATTTATAGATTGAAAAATACCCACACTTTAGTTGAAAAGAAACACAATTCAAATGTTTATCAAAATACGTACGAAATATGTAAAATTAACTATATTCAATTGGGATGACTGATGATCTACAATTAACACATTGTTTTTTAACCATCAACCAGCTTTTGATGCAGTTTTCATGAAACATATGTCTGCAGTTCAGCGTCACTATTTCCTCATCCTCATTGATCTCATCCTGTATAGAAATAAATAAATAAATAATATTTTATGATAAAAAAAGTATACCTAAATTAAAAAAATAGTTTTAATAATTTAATATGTATCTGCTAGATTGTGCAAATGATTTCTTCTTTTGTTGTCAGAAATCCTCTATGACTAAGCAGAAAATCAGATATATAATCTTGTGACGATGTGTCTTCAATTCTTCTGTTCAGACTCTGTGCATTCTGTGATTAAAAATTAAAAATAATTAAGAACCAAAATTTAACTAAATAATTTGATAAGATTCAAGATGAAAAATATCAATCATATATACCACATAATTCATATCTAACATAAAAGTTTGAAAGATTTACACACATACCACTCAATTCCTTTGTATTTACATATTTGAAATCTTCAATTAAATTTTTACAGTTTGATTTTATAAATTACCATTCTTATCTACTTATATATCTAAAACTTAAAATGTCACATCTACATACAAAATACTCAAATCTTTAAGACCATATAAAAATATAACTATTACTTTATAAAAATAAAACACGTTATTTATATTAGTTTATAATGCCAAAGGGTAATACATACAAATATGAAAAATTTGGTGTTAGACGGTAAATACATAAAAATTGTGTGGTACCAGTGTAAATTTCACGTTTTTTTTAAGTGAAATGCAAGATTTCATGCATAAATCAAAATATTTTAAATAAAAATATCACAATTTAAATATAAATGTAAAAAAATTATTTGGTATGTATGAAAACTTTTCTAAAAATTAAGAATCAACTGTTGAGGCTGAATTACTGCATCGTTACAATCAAAAAATACATTAGCGGCTGCAGAAGTCATTCTTGCAAGTCTTGCGCGAATGAGTGGCGGAACATCATACCCTGAAGAGTTAGTTACTCGTAGAAATTAATAAATAGATTGAGAATTAGATTAAGAATGTATAAATTAAGAGAAGAGAAGATAGTATTCACGTACTGTGAGAACGACGATATGAGGAATTCGAAGGGTGCATCAGCTGCGGGGTAGGAGCTGAGAAGAGTGGTCATGGTGTGGAAGCAAAAAAATGTGGCCATTGCATAAGAGCATAGCATATCATCAGTGGCGGAGGAACAAACCCCGTCATCCTTGGCGTGTAAACATAGCACACGATAGCAGAATTATGTGTGAGTACCAATGTATCATCTAATTGTTGTTGCACTCAAACTCCACTCTCCATAGATGAGTTCTATATAGCTGGAGTTACAACAACGACTAAATTATAAAATAGATTTGTCATATTTTTGTTGTTTAATTCAAGCAAAAAATTTGATACTAAAGGTGAAAAGCAGACCCATTTATTTCTGGAACAATAACAAAGAGTAAAAGGAGTTGAGAAATCAAACTTAAATGCTGCATACTATATAGAAATATTTAAATACATTGGACTGAGTTCTATAATTAATGCCCCAAAAATTAATTAATCAGGCATACAAATTATATTGCAAAAATGATATACAAATTAATCGATATATCCATAGTGATATAAAAATCAAAATTTTGATAAAATCTTTGGGGATTTAAATTTTGTGACTTTGAAGCATAAATAAAAAATATGGAATTTTTTATGAATCTTAAATAAACGGTAAATCTTCAAAAATTTTGAAAATTCAAAACAAAAGAAAATCTTTTTTTTTTTTTTTTTTTTATAGAACAACGATATATTTATTTTCAATAATAAAAACCATATTTTTTTGTATTTAGATAAACCTAGTTATTAAAATTTTGGGGCATATGACATTCAAAATATTGTTATTTACAAAATTAATGCCCCGATTTTTTATTTTTATTTTATTTTTTTGAATTGCAAAACTAACGCCAATGAACTAATCCCTCTGTATTTAAAAATATATAAAAATAACAGTTAGAATTTTTATTGTAACATTTTATATTTCTGTATAAATTTGAAATATATATATATATATATATATATATTTATTTATTGTATGACTAGATTATAGCGGCAACAATCTTGATGGATAGTCGAGAAACAAAACAAACAAAGTGGAGTCCCCAGTCAAGATACGGCGAAACTGATCCACCAGCCAAGCTGGATGTTTGAGACAATCAATTGGAGATCTTCATGGATGCTCAGTCAAGTTGTCCCTATAATCTATGAACAAGTAATGAAGATGAAAGAACAATTGATGATGTAAATCAGAGAGCAAATGGTGGGTGCCTTCAAAGAAGCTCTTGCTAAGGGAGGTCAGAACCCACAAAGCCAAAATCACAATGAGTAGCAGAGCCCATAACCAGATGAGACGGACCTGCAACCAACGGTCGACGATCCCAACCATCAGAAGTTGAGGTGACGACTCCATTACCAATATATTGTTGGATCAGCCCGGGTAGAGAGAAATCGCACCACACAGATCACAAGCCTCCGCCATGCGGTGAAAACCTTTTCTCGACAAATCTCCGAGGCTGAACCACCCAATCAATTTAAGACCCCCAACCTCGATTCATACAAAGGTCACACCGACCCAACAGACTAAGTGACTGCTTTCGAGTCGGCCGTCAGCATTATAAAAATTACTGATGCATTCAAATATTGTTTATTCCTCACCTTGCTGAGAGAGTCGGTCTCCCATTGGTTGAACACTCTCTGCGGGAGTAAGTTGACCTCATTTTGGTTAGATCTATTTCCTCCTCTAAAGCTTAGGATCTAGCCATAAGATTTTCCTATAGGCATTCCTAGAAGACTAGTGGTGGGACCCACCCCAATTAGGTATTCGAACTACTTCTCAGCTCTTTTGCAATCTCATGAGCAAGGTCTTAAATCCTCAACACTTGGTTGAATTGGTTAGGAACCAACACATTGAAACTCAAAATGAGCTCACCATAGAGTTAGGTGATGCCCTCGGGAGACCCTTGTGACCTAGGAATCCATCTCCTTGAAGCACTACATATGCACACACTCATCACCACCACTTGTTCTAAATCATACCTAACCTCAACCTCAGTGCAAATTGGAGCTAGGAGGAGGTGTGTTGCATCCACACGAAGCCTTTCGACCATTCCACATGAGGCCTCACCTCTTGGACAAAGATATGGACTCAAAACTTCGAAGTTTTCCTCGGTTTGGAACTTTGTGAAGAGACTCAACAATTCATGCCCACTTAGCCGTATAAATGTGTTTGTCTCACTAAGATGAAGGTTTACGAACAAATCTAATGTAATTTGGTTAAGAATCCATCAAGCTCTTAACCTTAGATCACAGACGGTTCTCAGTTCACTAACGTGAACTTCATCCCAACCTCTCGAGGACAAGAGTGCAGTCTTAATTGAGAGTTTTCTTAAGTTGTTTCGGTTCTTTAAGATGTAATTAATCATATAGATTTCACTTATAGGAAGAATGTGCTGTCATAACAGACACAAAATCTTAATCTTTGGTTGTTGATTGCTTTCATAAGCTCCTCTTTGTGGACACACTTTCAACGTGCTGCAATCCGACCTTCGATAGGACGTATGTTGCAGAAGTAATCTACGCAAAGTTCACTTCTTGAAAGCACTCCATACACAATTTCTCATTTCTCTTCATCATGATATACCATTGTCTTCTGATTCCTCTCTCATCCAGATCATAACATCCGGAAGAGGGTTTACTCGGAGAAGTGATTACAGTATGTTAGTGACTCCCCAACAGATAAAACAGAAATGACTCTTTACAACATTATGAAAATTTTGATATGATCTTAATCAATGTCATATTAAGTTTTAAGCCTCATTCGAAACTCTTCATCATTTATTTATTTATTTCTTGCCGCTTTGAAATAAAAAAAAAAACCGGAGTCTTATTAAGAATAAAGAAAAAGCAAAATGCCTTGGGCGCCAAGCATCTTCCTGCCGTGCAAAGTAAGAACAAAGAAAGAGCTTATAAATATCAGATCTCAACCATCGAAAGAGAGAGAGAAAGAGAGATCAGAGAAAGAAAGAGGGGATCTGAAATAGAAGAAATAGAAGAAGATGGGCGGAGGTACAGAAGCTTTTCCCGATCTCGGCGAGCACTGCCAATACGACGACTGCAACCAACTCGATTTTCTCCCTTTCACCTGCACCGGCTGCCGCAAGGTTTCTTTCTTTCTTCCTTTCTTTCTCTTATTTGAATCTGATTTGAACTTCAGAATTCGAAATAGATCACCTGATTCGTTTTATAAATTTTTTTGATCTATTTTAGCGATTAATTATTCTATGATTTGGCGCACATCTCTGCCACAGTTTTTTAACTGATATGTATATGCATTTTTTTGCTTTATTTTCTAACTAATGTGAGGGCGCCACTTACATTTCTGGATTATATATATACAAATAATCAACACACATGTTCATTAACTCGAGCAAACCATTCAGCTGAACTCTAAAAATGAAATTTTTTTCGAGCGGTCTATGTAAATGAATTACTCAAAGCAACATCATAGATCTCATTTATTCCTCTTAAATTTCAATCATTTAATGTTGCTTCAATTTTCGATTAATAAATATTTGAATTAAAAAAAATTTTGTTGCAGGTGTTCTGTCTGAAGCACAAAACTTATAGATCAAATTTATGAGAGGAAAAAATTTACTTGTTAGGTATCCAATACAAAGATTATGTGGTGTGAGTGTAAATTTTCCTTAACATTTTAAAGCTCAATGTTTGCATCTTTTTAAGATTTTGCACACACACACACGTGCATATGTATATGCATTTTTTTTCATCCTCCAGATCATCATCTTTGCTTTCTTTTCTAACTGATGTGAGGCCGCCACTTACATTTCTGGATTATATATATACAAATAATCAACACACATGTTCATTAACGGAAGCAAATCATTCAGCCGAACTCTAAAAATGAGATTTTATTTTTTTTCGAGCGGTCTATGTAAATGAATTACTCAAAGCAGCATCATAGATCTCATTTATTCCTCTTAAATTTCAATCATTTAATGTTGTTTCAATTTTCGATTAATAAATATTTGAATTAAAAAAAAATTATGTTGCAGGTGTTCTGTCTGAAGCACAAAACTTATAGATCTCACGCCTGCTCAAAAGCTGATCACAATAGTAGAACTGTCGCCGTCTGTGAATTATGTTCGGCCTCCATAGAAAAGCAGGCTGATGAGGAAGACGAAGACAACCTCTCTCACCACAGAAAACCGGAACTTGCGACCCATCAAAAAAGATCAAGCCTCGTTGCCCTGTGCTGAGGTGCAAGGAGATCCTCACATTTTCCAATAGCAGCACATGCAAGATTTGTAATCTGAAGGTCTGTCTCAGGCATCGCTTCCCGTCTGATCATTTATGTAGGGTTGCAGATTTGAACATAAAGTTTTCTCATTCCATCAAAGTATTCTGAGAATTCTTGGACAATTATTTGAATCTTTCCTTGTGTCCATGAACTTTCCTGTTGACTATTCCTAGAAAACTAGAAATATTTATAGGATCTATTTCATCAAAAAATATTCCAATTGATAATTTTTTTTTATGTAAATGAAAATTTTACATATGAAAGCTACACATAAACAAAACAGAATAAAGCCTTTGCAACTTTGAAATCTCGCTCATGCCCAATTTTGATCTAAGTCAAACCCCTAATTTTGGCTACATGCTTAATCCCACCAAATTGAACCTCATAGCTTACTCAATTTGTCACAATTTATGTTGAAAATTCTTCATAATATTCCTACACATCAAACTTGACCTTCAATTGGCCTTGGTGAAGCCTTACATATTTGTTTTAACTTCTAGCACTTAGTAGGTGGGGTCAATATGGGGGAGCTCAAGATGAGTTCCCATAAGACTGTTTGCCCTTAGAGTTAACTCTAGGTGTTGGTCTGGAGCTGGTTCGTTAACTTGCACTCGCTTGTACTCATTATCACCTATATCCACTCACAACCCTAAACCCAAAATTGTTGACTTTGATCCATTGATCTTTTGGGAGCTCATGTAAATGATCCCCTAAACCCACTGGCCCTAGACTAGGGATTAGCTAAGGTACATAGAGGATCCAAATAAGGATTCCATTGGTCCATAGCTCATATATGGTGGTTGGTACCCCAACCCTACTAAAATATTCAACATGGCCTTTTGTCCATAAATTCTCTCAAACTGCCTAAATGCCCTTGGAACCCCAAATTTAACCAAAATCCTCAAATTCATCCAAAATACCCAAATTTGTTCAAAAATCATCTCAAACCATTTCAAACTATCCAAATTACCCAAAACCACCAAAAAATACCAAATTTACCAAAATATCCCCAAAATTACAACAATACCCTTGGCACCCCAAATTTTCCCAAAACCTCCAAAATCACTCCAAATGCCTCTAAAACTCATTTGGACCCTTCAATTTAACCCAATTCGGCCAATTTGGCCAATTTGACCATTTTGACCAAAACCCCCAAATTGCCTTTACATGCACAATCTCCCAAATTCATCTCAAATGTCCATCAATTTGGGTCTAATTTTCCCAAATATCAATCCTAAACTCAAATTCATCTTTCATTTGATCAATCCAAACCAAATCCAAGTTTAATTGGCCCATGCTTTGAGCCCAATTTTGATCTAAGTCAAACCCCCAATTTTGGCTACATGTTTAATCCCACCAAATTGAACCTCATTGCCTATTCAATTTGCTACAATTTATGTTAAAAACTCTTCATAACTCAATTTGCTACAATTTACGTTGAAAACTCTTCATAATATTTCTACACATCAAACTTGAACTTCAATTGGCCTTGGTGAAGCCTCAATTTCATTTCCCAAATTCAACCAAATCGAATGCCCTAACCCCAAAATTGACACCTAATTTATGTTGAAAACTCTTCATTACATTCCTATAGACTATTTTCAACAATCAATTTGGACTTCCAATTGAACTCAAAATCATTTCAATCCTTCACCAAAAATCTTCATTACAATCATCTACACAATGTTGATCAATCAATTGAGCTCAAAGTCATGGCTAGCCTAACCCAAACCAAAATTTCAGCTACCAATTTGAACCCAAATTGGACCCATGCACCAAATTGACTTAGCTATCCTAAAGTCACCAAATTAATGTCCTCACAGCCACTAAACACACCTTATTGACCAGGCTAAACCCCTTTGGACAAGCCATGGAGAGCTATTGACCAATGGGTCCCTAAATTAATGGATCTTGGCCCATTTTTGGGCCTTAACCAAATATTTTCCCCATCATCACTTACCATTGGGAGTAAATTATAATTAAACCTCCCCCTGGATCACCTGACTCTCTGGCCACCTCCCTTGGCCCTGCCGACTGGCCTAGTCACCGGAAAACCTCAAAATTGAGAGCCCTAAGGCCAAATCAAACCCAATTTCAACCATAGAGGTCACCTCATCTCAATGGCTCTCTAGAGCTCCTTAGCCCTCCACCTAAGCAAGCCTTTGCACCCACGACCAGGACTTGACCTCCTCTCTTCGACCATGGCTATAAAATGGCCCTTTCACGGCCAAGAAAGGAGTGCTGAAATTTTCTCAAGGAGACCCCTCTAAATTGCTCCCATAGCCTCTTTGAGACCTCCTCAGTGCAACCCAACCACTTCCCTGCCCTAATTCCTCTTACCGGAGTTCAATTTTTGAGCTCAAATCCTTGTCGGAGACAGGACAAAACTCTCCACACCTCCACAGTGCATAAAAATCAAATTAAACTCACCTACACCTTCGCCACAGTGAAAGAAGACAAAACCCCATCAAAACCCCCTCCTAGAGAGCCTATACACTTACACTTGATTTTGATCAACACCCACATTCGGCCTTGATCCAATTTAGGTCTAGACCTCTCACCACGACTAGAGGCTCAATCCATAGCCTCCTTGGACCTTCACAAATGTGTCAAGCACCTCTGATTGAAGCTTCCCTTCTCAGAGCAAAGGTATTGAACTTCCCCTCTTCCCGAGCCTATTTTGATTCTCTATTTGATCATAGTTGATTTAATGGCATGTTTACATTATGAATATGTTCGTTACACTTAAAAGAGTCTATAAGATCAAACCTGAGATCATTTGGTTGAGAAATAAGGGAGATCTTAAGGTTTTAAGGTTAATGGTTACGGGCTCACACTAGTTGGGGACGATGACGCGAAACCGTTGGATCGCGCGTGTATCAAATGGAGGGCTCTGATTGCGCCTGATGGGAGCCTGGTTCATAAAGCGTGGGTCGAGACAGCGGCTACGTGGATGGCGGCATCCAACCAGAGCATGCCACGCAGAGCTTCAAAGCCGCCGTAGGTTGATGCGATGCCGTGTATTTAAGTAGAAAAATAGGGCTTTATTTTATTTATTTAATGGCCAGAACTTCAAAAATCCATATCTTGGTGTAGAAAAATCAAAAAAATAAAAGAAAAACACCCTAGTGCTCAGTGAACAGAGGAGAACAATGTGAAAATGGATTGAAGTTTATTTGATGCATATTTTATTTTTAATTAATGAAATGTGATTTTAAGTTTTTTGACTCTCCATGCATGTAGACATTTCACTATGACTTGATAGTTTTGCATTTGTTGCCTCTCTTATGGGGGATATTCTCTGATTTTTTCAAGTTCAGAGAAGACCTTGAGACATAGATCCATATTTTTCAAGTTTATGTCTATTACTTGAATAAATTAATCATAATAATTAGCATTTTTCTTAGAAAAATTGAAAGAAATTTCGGAAGGTTTATTGTGACCAGAGAACTCTTTGAAAGATTTTTCATGGGCTAAATCATCAAGAACACAGTTAGCTCTCACAAAACCCTAAAACACAAAGAAAATTAATTTGGGAAGAATAATCATCTAAATGTCTTTACTTTGATTCTACACTGTGGTTTAAAGTTTAAAGAACTCCCCATAAAAAATTAAAAACATTTGGAGTTCATTTGATAACTTTACTTGATTTTCTAAGTTAAATGACATTTTGACACTAAAATGATTTTTAATAAATAAAATATAACTAAAAAAATTTGGTTTTAGGAGCTCTTTGTGAACAGGAGAATTTTTTAAAAATAAAATTTTAATTAAAGCAAAAACTTCATTTTTAAGCCTATTTTAATGTTTAAATAATTAAAAATTAATAAAAATTATAAAAATGAAAAAAATGCATGGAAATGTTCTAAATTTTCCTTAGCACTTAGGAGCAATTGTAATATTTTTTCTAATTTTTCAAGTGAAGATATTGAATTTTAAAGCTAAAAATATTTTTTAAAGGCTAAAAAAGGATTTTTCTTAACCTATCACTTAAAATAATTCAATTAATTCAAATAAAAGTCATAAAAATATGAAATTTATTTCTCTGGGTTCTTTGACCTCAGGGAGATTTAATAAAAATGCAAAATTTAATTTTCCACATTTAAAGAGATTTAATAAAAATGCAAAACTTAATTTTCCACATTTAAAATATTTTATAATAATTAACACTCCTCAACTTAAAATAATTGTAATAATTCAAACATCACTCAAAAAATCATGAAATTTAGTCCAAATGGTTCTCTGGTCTAAGTTTACATCCAGTAAAAATTTCAAGGGATTAGGCTCTGCCTTGGTCAAGATATGGAATTTTCTTTGAAAAACCCTAATTTTGCATATCAATAAATTAAATTAAAATTTGAAAAATCACATTTTCTCCTCTGATGTTTTAATTGACCCATGTGTAAGGTAGGATGAAAATACTAAAGTCATTTGAATTACATTTTGATAAATTATGGGGTAAAAGTGTAACTTTGAGAATTTGACCTTAATTAACATTTAGACTTAATTCAAGAAGGGGAAATGGATAACCTTTTTTATCCTAATTAACATATTTGGATGACTGGAACACAAAGGATTAATTGGTAGAAAGTTGAAGAAGCAGAGAGCTGGTTGCCTGAATGCCAAAGAAGCTGCGAGAGAACGGAAGGAAGCAGGGTGCGGCGGATCGCGAGCAGGCCAGGGAGAGGCGGATCGTGATTGTGAAAGGCAGCTGGAGTAATTTGCGATTAAACACAACAAGGAAACACTAGCCGCGGGGGTAATGCCGCGGCCCAGATTATGCAAAAATTTCAAACTGTGTTTTCCAAAACGCTGCTCAAACGTGCAAAACAAACATCACAACGACATTTTCAACAGTTTTAAGCTGCCCCAAACGGACCCTATATCACAAAATGATTGTTCTGACAAACAATGAATGGGGAGAGGGAAACCGTGAGGGAGAGCAAGGGTTTCGGGCGAAACCGTAAGGAAGAGGAAAGGGGAGAGCAAGAGTTTCAGGCATAAGAGAAATAGGGAAAGCGGGAAGAGAAATAAAATTTAGGCGCGCAGGATGAGTACTTTAGGCCATTTTCGTCGGATTTCTATCGAATTTGCGACGGACCTATATCGAGGCAAACAAAAAAAAAATTGCATCACTTAATTGGATTCAAATTCGACATTAATTCAGACACAAATATT